TTTTTTTTTTTTTTTTTTTTTTTTTTTTTTCGAGACATTTTAACGAGAAATCGATACCTCTACTTTCAGCAACGAAGTACAATTAATTATTTATCATTTTTTAAAAAAATCTCCTCCTTTGTAGTTCCAATCGTAAAAGGAATTTACAGTTTCCTTGTTTCCCAAATTGATTGTTACTTAGACACTTAAAATACCGTAGCTGTGCATTTCATATAGATTTTATAAGAATTTCTTGTTTAAAAGTTTTAAATTGTTTCAAATTAAATATAACACAATACGTAAATTTGATATGTAAATATGTCGATTTTTATAATAAAAAGTCTGTCTTTTATGAAAATTTTCAATACGTAGAAGAAGAGATTTTTTTTTTTTTTCTCTAAGAAAAAAAAACTTCAGTTTCACCATTAGATTTTAAACCAATTTGAAATCAATCGGTACAAACATTTTCTAGATGGAACCAATCCAATATGCAAATATTGTACAATTTCGAATTAACAATAATTAATATACTACACACTCATCCTCTAATTTCATTTCCAGTTATTAATATCTATTAATTTAACAATTAATCATCCCATTTCTATCAACACTATCCATACCATTAACGCATGTACACAATCTTTCCCATCCATTATCATAATTTCAACATTGATTTCCCCCTTCACCACCAGTATCGTTAACAGTTTCCCTTTAACACCGTTATATTTATTATTCTCGATTTCCAATCATTTCCCCCGTCTATTTTCAAATCGCTCACGCTCCTCTCTTGGTTTCCCTTTATTTAAAAAAAGAAAAAAGAAAAACATTTGAGACTAGAAGAATGAAAAAAAGACGCGATCGGAATGTTGACGTTTCATTGGCTTGCAAAGTAGTTTCTATTGTTCCCAGCAAATATTTAAGTTGTTACGAGTCTGTGGAGGAAATCTCGCTTGGACGTAACATCGACGGAAGAATACGCGGAAATTCAATTACAGAGATAATTCTGCATTAATATTTGGATTCCACGGGGCGGCGAGTTCTCTCTCTTTCTCTCTTTCTTCCTTTTTCACACAAACACACACACACGCACACGCGCGTATACACGCGTTCGATTTCAAAACTCGTCCTCTTTTTCGCTTTATCTTCGACGAGATTGAAATCGTCCATCTTGAAAAAGGAGGAATTTCTTCCTTCCTCTAAATGTTTCAAATTCGCGGAAAAAATCTCGCGATTTTTCGATGATCGTCAATCATTTATCGACCATTGTGGAAATTATTTTACCCCCGGGAATTTTTGAAGAATTATTATTCTTGCAAAAAGGAATTAAATTGGATCAAGTTATTATTAAGGCCAGCTGTTGGGAAAAATTATTGCTCCATCCTTACGTTATGAAATGTTTTATTCGCCCGAGTTATTAAGTCTTGTTCAATTAATTTATTTATCCGACGATTATCTTCTCTTCTTTTTCTCTTCTTTTTCTTTTTTTTTTTTTTTATAATTTTCATTTAACGTTCGATTAAAAAAAAACGTTCGAGAAACGTTGATGCGTTAAGATTTAATATCGTAAAAGTTATTAATAAATTAGGGAAACGTTGAATAGTAATTGAAAAGGTATGGCAAGGTATATTATGATAATTTATTTATCAAGGTCAACGATCATTGACCATTTTCCAATTTACTTTTCTGACCGTGTCCTCTCCATTTTGTGTTGCAGGCGTTCCTGGAAATGGCGGATGAAAATGCTGCAGCGACGATGGTAAATTATTATGCCTCGTGCATGGCCCAGCTCCGTGGCAGAGCAGTCTACGTTCAATTCAGCAACCATCGTGAACTGAAAACGGATCAAACGCACACCAACAATGCGGTAAGCGGTTCAAACATTTTCCCTCGTCGATACCCCTTGTTGTTAATTATTTTTAATTAATGGCTTCGAAATTTCTTTTCCGAAAATTCAATTCCAAAAATTATGTTATTTAATTCGGAACATTATTAAATATCGAATTGATTCAAGAAAGATACTTTTTATCTGATTAATCTCCTTGTAAGTTTCTTTCTTGACATTATAGCTATGTGTTTTTGAAAAAGATTCTATTATTCATCATTCTCGCGAGAAAGAAGTACATCTTCCGTTAATTACCCGTTTTTATCTTCTCATTTCCATCTTTCGAAAAGAAGAAGGAAAATCATTCGTTCAATTACGAAATCGTAAAAATAAAAAAATAATTTAAGAAATAAATTTATCGCGCAACAGTTCGCTTTCCAAAAAAATCCAAAAAAAAAATATAGAAAAAAGGAAAAAAATTCAAACACGAGTCACTGGGAAAACCCGCAATAAAACGAATTACCGAGCACCGGTGCAAGGCTGTCAAAGAAAAACCGGTCTTTCCACGTAGTTTTTTCCCCCGTTCAAGAAGCGTATTCAACGCTATCTTCCGACCGAAATTACTATTAAAAAGCTTTGGGGAAAGAGGCTGAAGCGTCTGAAAAACATACTACCCTCCGTGGCTTTCCTCTGGCCAAGGGCTGTTTGCCCCCTCCGACGTGACGACTGAATATGCGGGAACCGGACACGCGATAATTTGCAGGCAAACGAAGAAAGCGCTCTTTGGACCTGCCCCTCTTATATATTCACTTATTGCTGCAAAGGCTGCAAGTAATTTCGCGCAATTACTTTTTAACGAGTGGTGGTCGCGATGATATTTCCTGGATTTTCACCCTTGCTATCGTGGGCAAACACCCGCGAAATTAGAGAATTCTGAAGGAATTGCTCCGCCATTTTCTTTTTCATCTATTTCTTCTTCTTCTTTTTTTTTTTTCGTGGAATTCGAAAGATATTGGAAGATATTAGGTATGTAAGAGTGGAATAAACAGATATAAATATATATATAGAATGACAACAGATATGTAGAATTTTGGAAATTTAAAGAAAGGGAGTTGAGATTAGAATTATTTTTTTTTGATCATTTTTAAGGTTTCTTTCGTTACAAACGAAAAGAATTAATGAAATGTTGGAGAGGAAATGGTGATATCGTATCTTTGTCTCTTGGAAAA